CTTTGATCACATTATTATTTTATTATTTAATTGTGTTATTTAATAGAAAATTTAAAATTTATCCATAATTTATCTTCACATAATATTTAAAATTCTAGAAAAATTAAAAATAATAACAATTCATTAGGCTTATGCCTTATGCCTCTAGGTTTCACCTCTTATGGACAACTACTTTTACCCATCTTATTAGCCTTTAAAAGTATGATAATAGTATGAAAATAATTTGTATTTATTATAATTGTAATAGTATTAATAGTATAATGATCTTAATAGTGTTTTTTAAATTAATAAAATAAGTATACAAAATTATTAGTAGTAACCAATTAAATAATTATAATAATTATTTATGAATTATAATAAAATAATTAAAATAATAGTATAAATAGAATAATATATTACTAAATACTATTAAGAATTATACTATAATTCAATGAGCAATAAAATAAATAGAATAAATTTTGAATCGCATAAATGGTGTAAATATTTTTATAAGATCGCATAAATTATGAATTACACTATTTATTTAGTATTATATTATTAAATAAATTAAATAAATAATTTAGTTTTAGAGTATTTTCTCAAAGATTATTACATGATACTGAATAATCTATACTTGGTAATGATTGAAAAAATAACATTTTTATGAAAAATTATTTAATATTAATAATAGTACTATTAATTGTTAATGATAGTATGATAAAAATTTATAAAATTATTTATAGTACTAAACTATTTAATAGCATAATTAAAAAAATAGATAAATATTTTTATAGTATATAGATAGTATAATTATCTTAATAGTATTACTTGAACTAAAAATTATAATATTAAGGTAAATAAATATTTTTATAGTATATAGATAGTATAATTATCTTAATAGTATTACTTGAACTAAAAATTATAATATTAAGGTAAATTAAAATAAACCCCCATGAACTTTCTACACCCTATGAACTTTCGAAATCACACTAAACCCCTAATAACTTTTATAGAAAGCCCCCAATATCTTTTAGATAAATTACACTAAAACCCCAATAACTTTCAAAATGCCTTCTTTATGCCATTTTCTGGTTCTAATTTATAGGAGTTATTTGCAAAATTTAGAAAGTTATTAGTGGTCTTCTTTGAAATAGAAAAGTCATTAGGGGTTTAGTGTAATATGAACTGAAAGTTCATAAGAGTTTAGTGTAATTTACTCTATTATATAATTATAATAAGAAGTAACTACTGCAATATCTTGTAGGTATTAAGTGTATCTGTCTAGGGAACATCGGAAAAAGCTAGCAAGATTAACGCAGCTTAGTTAACTTAGAGTTAAGTTATATATTTTTAAGTTGGAGAGGCATATTTAAGAGAACTTAAAGAATTGAGAGTTTTATTTAAGAACAATTTTAGATTTGGGGACTTATTTAAAAAAAGGTAAACACCGGACGATCATTATAAGAAAAATATTCAATTACAATAACCACACAATTTAATAATTCATACATTTCTTTTTAAGCGGTCTTATTATACAAATTTATTTATTAACACATAGTTTTCCTATTCAATAAAAAAATCAAAAGTTAAAACATGTATGTTCACATGCAAAGCACGTGTATTATACTAGTATAATACACATGCAAAGCACGTGTATTATACTAGTAACCTTAGGTTGAGGTAGGTCAACTATGAAATGCCCCCTGGATTTTACTAAAATAACTACTATCGTACTTTATCTAGCACTGTAACCCACAAAACTGTCCTTGTTTTTGGGTTGTTCACATGATTACGGAACAATGTATCCCCTTCAGTTCTCCAATCATTCACTTTCTCCATCTCCTCACCTATCTCTAAACATGGAAAGAGAAGGAAAAGAAAACCTACATATATTATAAGTTGCTATGTCCCATGGATGATGCCTAGTGGAACAAACTACTAAAGTTGTCCATACCCTTCTTTCCGTTGCAGGCTCTTTATCTTTATGATTATCCCAGTGTTTCTTTTCGTAGGAACATTACTGGAAGATAAAGCAGTAAACGGGAAAGCTACATTCTGAGTCTACTGCATGCCTATGCTGTATTGACAAAGGTTTGTTCGCTAGTTCACTATCTCAATAATTCACTTGTTGATTTTAAACATTTAATACATCATTATTTAACTTTGCACGTTTCACCGGAATATTCTTTTTCTTGTCCATGTATTTGATTTTCGTTCTTATTCTATTTGCAGGTAATATACCCGCATTGTTTTTCTGGGGTTCATCTTTGTCAATTGTAATACAGGGAGATTCTTACTTTGGACTCCAAAGATTGTATTGTGATCATAATTAAGTATGTTTAAGACATCAATAGGCACCTGTAGATAATATTCATCATCTCGCTACACATGAATAAGCACTTGGGTAAGTTGGCATCAATTCTCTTGTTGCTTTTTATCCGCGGATGTTTGTACATAGAGTATCTATTAGATCCATTTGTGGACAACCAAGATTTTTCTGTCCTCCCAATTACTACTACAACCTGCATATCGAAGTTTCAGCTTCTGTGTTCTTTCTTTGAGATTGAAGAATGTGGGCTTCTCATGGTTTACTGCATCATGATTATGTTTTAATTTAATTGATGAGATTATAACGTTTATCGTATCGATAATTCATAATCTAATACGCTCTAGCACCCCTTTTATCTATAATGTCGAAATCATTCTTTTGTGCAGAGAACTTTGAATAGGGCTTCTCAAGATACTAAACCAAAATTTCGACCACAGACGTTGTGAAGGAATGCACAACCCTTTTACTGTCAAATTTTATCTTAACTTTTGTTTTAGAGTTTGGAACATTCTTTGCATGATTAATATACACTGCGTGGTCCTCATCGGGTAATTTTTCCTCTCAAATTATTTTGTGAAGATAATTTGGAAAGTGTGTGACAAATAAAGATGAACCCTTATTTTTTCAAGGGGGTTTTTCTTTCCAACCCAAAATTTTACCGTGATTTATTTTTAGACCCAAGTTGTTTTATTTATACCTATAAATCTAAACAACTTTGTGTGTTTGTCTTTAACCCCTGTATTCCAAACACATTACACAGCTATGCGGTTCCCTAGTAATTTAAAAAAAAAAATCCCATTTTATCCCTTTCTCTCTCCACTTTTTGGAATTTGGAGAAAACATTCTACACGTTATAAAAGTAACTTAAAGGCAAAAACCCCTTTTTTTCAAAACAAAAAACATTCAAAACAGAAGGCATGTTATGAATTAAACTATTAAATGGGTTATCACACTGTTGCTGGTTTATATATTCTGAAGCTTCCCAAAATTTCCGAAAGTAACGCCTTGAGAGTTCAAACTTACTGGGGAGTAAAAACGGGGCTGTTAAACTTTTGTTAGTATGAGACAAATACAGACACCCAAACAAAAATAATATCAACTCCAAACATGATTACGATAGTTCATCAGTTGTCACGCCGTCCAAACATGAGGTGAAGGCAATAACAGTTACAAACCGATCTTCGCATTGTAAAAATTCACTGAGAAGAGCGCGCTTTTCAAAGCACAATGAAAACAGATCACGTCAAAGTGAAGAACGAATAATATCGGCATGTCCAGTGCTGTTACCATCATAAAATGACAATAATAAGAGCCAAAGAGGATACAATTTTCAACTACTATTTTTTCTTTTCTATTTCTCATGATATGCGCGCATTCTTGTTCTTGCATACGCCCCAGAACTCACATTTTACTTGCAAACATAAGATGAACATAGCAGACAACATATACAGATGAGAGTAAATAAAAAATAGCAATCGGATAGACATTTTATGACACAAGTTACCTCAGTGGAGCGTAATTGTACAACCACCAAAGAACAACAGGATAAGGAAACATAAAATATTTGCCTGAATGGCGACACAATAACTCCATCCTGCAGAAGAAGGAAAAGAAATGGTTACACCTTGTCAGCAACAAAGTAAACAAGATCAAAGTTGCTTCACATCCAAATTGACGTCCAAAGAATATAAATAAGCATTTTTCATAAAAACAAAATAAGAGAATAAATAAGCATTTTTTCATAAAAACAAAATAAGAGTTGCTATACATCCAATTAGACACTGAAAGAATGTATAAGCATTTTATGCAAGCATACTGTCTAATAGATATTTCAGGTTAAGAATTCGGATTTGTTTCATTCGCTCCATAGGGTTCTGAAACAAGAAGTCATGCAGCAATATATATGGCATGATAAACAAATATATATGGTATAATAAACAAGTCATAGAAGCAAGCACCAACTTTGAAGTGGCGGCTGCCCCAAATGCAGCATCATGTGCTTTTAGAACCATTAAGATATATAAACAATCAATTCATCAGTGAATTATGCAGAAGACAAGACATAAGATGGTTCTTAACAAGGACAGAGCAACACCCTCCAATTTTGAGATCGATGCAGGATAGAATTATTTTCACCGACCAATTTATGAAGGGAGTATATGAGCTACAAGTAAAGACCTATGCTTATGCGTAACATTTCAAATAGGCAGCAAAACTTGATATAGTTGGGATCATAGTAGCAGTTATGGTCGAGAGTGTAGTAACTAGACAAACACAAATTATCCAAATCTCAATAATCAAATAAAATTGATAAAGGTTGGATGGAAGAAACCAAAAAGTTAGAGAACCAACTCAGTAACCATATGTTTGAAAAAAACATAGTTGCACCTTCCCATGGCTACCAGCTCCTATAACAGTAGAATAGGCTGCAGTAAACTTTATTGGTAGGTTCAGGGGTGTAAAAAAAACCCCTTGAGGTCTTTCCAGAAATTTAAACATTTGACACATATTACCATAAAAAAGGTATAACTTTAGAGTGTTGTATAATGCCCTCTATAATTGCGAGTTCCTGACAGTACTTATGGTCATAGTTATGACTCTAATATAAATCTGATTATCGGGAGTATTTGACCCCTACAACTTTTATTACATCACTAGGATCCATCAAAATGAGTGTACTTTGCACTTTGCACCTATAATTTTATTTTTATTGCACAGCAGTCCTTCATTTTCCAGGTTGAATACTGTGAATTTATTATATATTTGCATGTTATAATGATTTTAAAAAAATAAATTCACAGGGTTTTCTTTCAAAAGAACCAGTAAACTTATTTGATTACTATTGGTACTTATAAAATGATTTCAACTTAATCTTATCTTTTATCTTATTGGCTACTAGTGTCAATCCCCTAGAAGGTCAGAAGTTATTCAACACTTGACTCTACTTCTTAGTTCAACAGTCGAGGGTTATAGAACGCTAGATTTGCATGCATCATTCAACAACAACAAAAAAGGGGGGAAAAGAAAGAAGAGAGTTTTTTTTGGGGGTGGNCAAAGCAAGGATGATAGAAATCAACACCTAGCCGGGGTTGTATTACACTGTTCTGCCTGAAGAAAAAAAGAGCATAATTTGATTCACAAGAAGAAAACTGAAGCCATTCTGCAGGGTGACTTTGTAACTGTGGCGCTTGATCGGACGCTGAGTATTGGAAACAAGCACTACATATATGCATCATATAAATATAATTTAATGGGTACAATTTCTCATTGAAACTATCGGTGAGCATTCCCAAGTTTACAATGAGAGTTTAAGACATACTGCTCTAACATGAAGAGTACAGTGAGTACCACAAATGCATCTTTTCAAGGATGTAGGTGAGAAGTAAGAACTGAACCTTATGCCATGTAGCAAGACTGAAAATCAAACCATTTAGCAAAGAGTAAACTTAAGTCATCGACAAGAATAAAATTTCAACCATTTGGATCATTTCTTTATAGTACAATCAAAATAGCCTATTTTTCATTATAAATATCAATGGGCATTGTCATGGTTACTTACTGTTGGGGACAACTGAAAACAAAAGATGTCCATACAAACTATGCAGACAGTAGTAACAAAGAGAACATCATGCAAGGATTTAACGTAGTCCCATTGGTATCTTGATCTACATTTACAAGCAAAACAAAGGGAATTCACTAATCAAAGAGGAGATTACAATGAAAGTCACTCTCTAATCTTACAACCAAAACCCACAAAGAGAATATACAATAAAGAATTCAAGAACTCTCTTGTTTATTTCCCCATTTCTCTCGCACTTCACACTCTTCATCCTCACACTAACCCCTTTTGTAATGAACTCATCTTAACGTAAAACAAACAATTGAGTTAGTCTAACAATGGGGCTACTAGTTGGTGGAATAATATCCTAATTTTCATATTACTTTTCAAATACTAAATGTGGTAATAAGAGAGTTCAAAATTGAGTTTTTCTTCTTCATATTTAAGACACAACAAAAACATGGTGATTAACAAGTCTCCAATTTGACTTGAATATAATAAATCTTCTATTTGTCCTAGTTGTCTCTCCACAAGCTCCTAATAAGCTTAACCTTCACTTTGTTAAACTTCAATCAATTCAAGGCAATGCTCAAACTTGTGCAAGGATACGATCTTCTTATCATATCTTCTAGATTATCCGCAATACCAATTTTCTCAATCCTGATGACTCCAATTTTGCTTGTAAAATGATTATTGACATCTATATGCTTGGTTCTTTCATGATGCGTTTGATGTTCGTCAAATGTATTGCACTATGTATATCACAAAACACTGTAGTACCTCCTTGATGTAAGCAGAGATCTTCAATGAAATATCTCAACCAAATAGCTTTTTTCACTGTTTCTGTCATTGCTATAAACTTAGCCTTTGAAGTAGATAGAGCAAGTGTTAAGTATAAAGTCACTTACCAATTAATGTCACAACCTCAAAGAGTGACTACGTAACATGCCAAGGATCATCTCTCATCTAAATCGCCTTCAAAATCTCATGAATTCTGCAATCTGAATTTGTATTCTTTTCAAATACAAACCAATGCTAGTAGATTCTCTCTAATATCTAAGGATCCATGTCACTGCTCAAAATAGACCTTTTCAAGTTTATCAGTATACCAACTCACAACACTGTTTGCATGTGAAATATCTGGACGGTTATAGACAATAGATACATTATGTTTTCTACGCCACTGGTGTAAGGAACACAAGACATATACTACTATCTTCAATCTGAGGTGATAAATCTATTGAAGACGAAAACCAACAACATGTGGAGTTTTCAAAGGATTGGCATTGAGCATGCCCGTTCTCTCCAATACCTTCTCATGTATTTCTTCTAAGACTGATAATTTCCCTTGTTGTTTGTTCCTATGAATCTCCGTTCCCAAGGCTCCCAAATCTTTTATCTCAAACTCCTTGAGTTGAGATTTCAACTCACAAACTTCTGACATGTTTTTTTAGCAACAAGTAACATGTCATCAACTTTAAAGAAAATATAAAAAATAACTATTTGTTAATCACCTTGTTTATGGTGTGTTAAATATGAAGAAAAACTCAATTTGAATTATCTACTTACCATAATTAACATGTACAAATTAGTACTAAATTAGGATACTATTCATAACCTTAATTACGATGAAGAGTATGAAGTAGAAGTGGACTGAATGAACAAGAAAGTTCTTGGGTAAATTACACTCAACTACCTTATTGTTTGTCGGATATTGCACCAAGGTACCCCTTGTTAAAAATCTTACATTTATATCCTTAAATTTTCTAAAAGTTGAACTTTAATAAGTTTTCAATGTCAANCCCCCCCCCCCCAAAAAAAAAAAAAAAAAAAAATTCTCATGTGACATTCGCATGCTAATTCTAAAACATATTAACCCTTATTTTTATTAAATCTATTGTTAAACCTGCCAAAATCCTATGTTAAGATGGCATTAGGGTAACTTTAAAATAGGATTTTGATAGGTTTAACGATAGTTATAACTAGAAATAAAGGTTAATATGTTCTAAAATAAGCAATTGAGTATCACATGAGAATTTTCGAAGGAAATTCTCAAGTTCGCATTCTATTGGAAACTTTAGGATATTGAAAATGCAATTTTTCAAAACTTTAGGGTATTTAAGCATAATGTTATAAACTATGGGCATTTTGGTGCAATATCGGGCAAACATTAGGATATTTAAGTGTAAATTACACTAAGTTTTTTGTTGGGTGTTCTCTTTTTGAGTTTTGGTGAGTGACATTAGAAAATGATCTCTTATATTGTGATCCTCTTCTTAAATAGTTAGTGAACCCCATCTGTCAACGTTGAAAAAGCGGGGAAAAAGTGAAAAAATACCTATTTATATGTATGTGCCTTCCCTACAGCTAAAGAGGAGGTGTTAAAAGAGGAGGTGTTAAGTCCTGGACACACTTTTCTCTCGCAAAAGGCGCGACGCAATGCGAAAATAACGAAAAACAGGTCGAAAGTGAACAAAAGAGATGTAGACCGCTTTAAATAACAAATACGAGTGAAATAAAAGGTGGAGTAGATGATATTTGCAAATGGAAGCCAAATCCCACTCCACTTAAAATACCCTCATTAATCATCTGATTCCTCTTTACCCTCTTTCGTAGCCCCAAAAAGCCATAAATTGGAGGTGGGAAAAAGTCTCTCTTCTCTTCCCTCTCGGCGACCATGATAACACCTCCTCAATGCTTCACCTTTGTCATCCCTCAACTTCGTTATTGTTACCTCCTTCGTCAACTACTCTCCTCTCCAACTTCAAACCAAGACTTCTGTCTTCAATTTCATCGAATCCAATGAACAATGAAACCTAAACACGACGAGACCTCTGTAGTTCTCTTCATGTTCCCTCAGTTCTCTTCATGTTCCCTCAGTCCTTGCATGAGGACGACATCTTCCTTCGATGAGCTAGACATTAGCAGCAGTTCCGCCATGTGCAGTAGGTAAAAGCTTCTTCTTTTCTTGTGTAGTGACCATAGTAAGTTTTAGATGTCATTGATTAAGGTTATGAAGCTAACTAATATTGGGT